GGAGGCCCTGCTCCCTCCGCCCATGGGGCGCCCCCCATGGCGCTCGGTGGGAGCCCAGCCTGCGCTGCTCCGGCCCGGCAGCTGGGCCGTGTCCGGGAAGTCGGCTGCCCTCTGCCCTGGCCTTTCCGTCCCTTCCCACTTCCCACATGGGGGGGGGACAATGGGGGCATTGTGTTCCGCGTGGGAGCGCTCACTTCCGGGAGGACGGCTCCGGCCCCCACACAAAGGGCTTCCCCGGAGCCAGGACGGAAGCCCCTCTTCCTGCCCTTCCTCCTCTGCGCCTCTCACCCGGGCAGCCTGGGAAAGAGGCTCCGGCGGGGCCCGGCCCCCCAGCAGCTGGGGGGGTGCGGAAAGCAGGGCCTGCAGGGCCCACAGCGCCCTCTGCACCCCCTTCCCCCCAACCCCCACCCCCGCTGCCATTCTGCTCTGAGGGCGGCTGATGTTTGGGGTTGGGGTCTGTCAGCATTAGACCTGGCTGCCCGTTCTCGGGGGGGGGGGGGGGGGGGGGGGAGACGGGCTGCACCCTGCCCCTCTCCTGCTCCTGAGGCCCTGGAGCCTGGCCTTGCACCCTGACCCCCACCCTGAGCCCTGACTGCCTGTGGGCGGGAGAAGGGGCTGGGAGCAGCAGAGGTGGGAGGGATCCTGCGGCGCAGGCCAGCGCTCAGGCAGGTGGGCAGGGGTCTGGACAAAGGTGTCTGCAGGTTTGAAAGGGACCTGGGACCCTCCTGCTGCGGCTCCTTGTCCCGGGGGCTGGGGGGTGGGGGAGGCGGGGAGCAATTCCCTGGCACATTCGCCCAGTTTTATCCCCCGAGGTTTCTGAAGCTCCTGGCCCCGCTGCCCGGGGCGGTGGCCGCGGCCCTGGGTCTGGGCCTGTCTTGGTGGTTGGGGTGGAGGGCTGAGGGGCCTCGTGGGTCTTTGCTTAGAACCGAAAGGCCAGGATCTGGGGGGCGAGGGCTGCCCCGAGCCGTCTGCACCCCCAGCCTCAGCAGCAGTGGGCCCTGCTGGTTGGAACATACAGAGCTGAGGCTCCTTCCTGGGCGGGGATGGGGGGCGGGGGCTGAGGGAGCGTGAGGGTTGTGGGCCTCTGGCTGCGGGACAGGCCCCGGGGACTGTGCCGTCAGGGTGACCGCTTCGAGGGGGCAGGAGGTGGGCTGAGGGGCTGCCTGGGGTGGCAGGGGTGGAGCCCGCCCTCCCCTGGACACCCGGGCAGTCCTGCTGGTCCAGGACCGGCTCCTTCCGGCTCCTTCCCCAGGGGCCGTGGGGGCGCTCGGCTGGGTGCTCAGGGGCTGGGGACGGCATCAGGGAGCCTCGGCCGCTGCCCACCTTTGGGGAGGGGGGGCCCCGGCCCAGCAGACGTGGCCGCTGGCAGCACACGGCCGCTGCGGTCGGGCCAGGCAGGGCGGCCGCTGTGCCAGGAGAGCGGTGCTGCCCCTCTGCTGGCGGAACGGCGTGCCGCCCGGCGATGGAGCCCCAGAGCCGCTGCCCTGGTCCGGCTCCTGCTGGGCGGCTCCCACGGGGGGGGCCTCTGGGCTCCCCACTCCCCGTGGCCCCCCCTTTGCTGCTTGGGCGGAGGGACCTGTCACCGCTCCCCTGGGGGTGGCAGATGGCCGCCCGCTCAGAAAGGAAAACAGCGCCGTTTAGAATTAGTCCCGGGTGAAAGGTCGCGGCAACATCTGCCTCCGGAGGCTTTCTGGGGTCGCATTTCTGTGGACGCGGGGGGCGGGGGGGCGGGGGGAACAGGCCCCGAGCCATTTGGCGCTCCGGGCGGCGGGAGGCGCTGCCGGAAGCCAGTCCCGAACCCCCGCTGGAGGGAAGGCGAGTGGGGAGCAGCCGGAGGGACCCCTCCAGGAGGGAGCAGGAAGGCACACACTGGGGGGCCACCGGGGGGCCAGGGCGGGAGCCGGCGGTGGGTGGACGGGTCCTCAGGCTGTCTGTCCGAGGGAGAGGCGGGGGGGGGGGGGTGACTTTGGGAAGCCCCGAGTCCAGGCCAACATCAGGTGCGACTCCCCTCGCCGACCTGGGCAGCTGCCCCGACACACACTGCCCGCCAGGACAGGTGTGGAGGACAGGCTGGCCACAGGCCGTGTGGTCCCTCCCACGCTCCGCGTGCACATGTATGTACATATGTGTGCACATGTATGCACATGTATTATATGTGCATGTGTGGATGGATTTCAGAGAGCAAGGGGGAGGGGAGAGAAACATCGTCGATGGGCTGCCTCCTCCTGGGTTGGAGCTCGCAGCCTGGGCGTGTGTCCTGATCGGGGATGGAACCAGGCCCTCCACAGGCCGGCGCTCCGCCTGGAGCCACCTTCTGGGGACGTCTGGCCGCAGGGCGGCAGGTGTCTGGCCGCGGGGAGATGGGCGTTGTGGCCAGGCTGGGAGGCAGGGGCTGAGCGGTGAGGGCTGGGGCCGCCTGGAGCTGGGCCGAGGGGTCAGGCAGGAGCGGCCTCGGGACTCCCCAGCCCGGACTGCTCACCTGCGTCCTCCGCCCGCTGCACCTGAGCCCGCCCGCCCCACAAGCACCTGCCTCGGCGCCGCCCCGCCCCAGGCTGCTCCTCCCCGCGGCCCTGCCCGGGGTGCGGGTGGGGGCGCGGGTGGCGGCCGGCCGGCCCAGCCCAGCCCCCGGACGGGCAGCGTGCCTTCACGGTGCGTCCGCCCGGCGGGCGGGAGGGACAATGGGCCCTCTCAGCTCCGCTCCCCAAGGAGGAGCCGCGCTCCGCCCGCGCCCAGCCGGCCGGGAGCAGCTGCCGCCGCGTCCCCGCCACAGGCACACCTGCTCCGCCTTTGTCCCTCCGCCAGCAGCCTCAGCCTCGCAGCCGCCGTGCCTGGGGGGTCCCCGTCGGGACCGGGGCAGAAGGGGGTGTCCCCGGCGCTGCCCAGGCTCCAGGGCTCAGTCCTGCAGGGCCGGGCTCTGGTCCACGTGGGCACACCGGTGTCCAGAAGGGGGGTGCTGTAGTGGCAGGGTCCCCGTGTGTCCCGGGACCAAGGCCAGGCCTCGCCCACAGAGTGTAGGCCCCGCAGCCTTGCCTCCCCCTGGAGCTGGTAGGGCAGAGAGAGGGAGGGGGCGGGCCGGCAGCTCCACCGCAGAGGCGGGCAGTGCCCTCTGCCCGCTCCCTCCGCTGCCCACTCCGCCGGCCGCTGGGACAGAAGAAAGAGCCTTTCTCCGAGGGGCAGCGGCCGCCAGCTCCGCCGGACAATGGAGGCATTGAGGGCTGGGGAGGGGCTGTCTCTGCCCCCCACCCCCATTCCCAGTGAGCTCAGGCCAGGGCCACGGCCTGTAACTGGATCCACACACAGGGCGGCCCAGCCGCCTCCCCGGACCCAGGCGGTGAGGCCTGGGGGACCCCCGGGCGGTGAGGCCTGGGGGACCCCCAGGTGGTGAGGACTGGGGGACTCCCGGTAGTGAGGCCTGGGGGACCCCCCGGGCGGTGAGGACTGGGGGGGCCCCGAGCAATGAGGCCTGGGGGACCCCCGGGTGGTGAGGACTTGGGGGACCCCCGGCAGTGAGGACTGGGGGACCCCCTGGGGGTGAGGCCTGGGGGAGCCCCAGGAGCATGGCCTCATGGGAGCCCGCACTGGCTGGTGTCTGCCCGGCCGGGCTGAGTGGCTCGGCCCCCCGCGGGGCAGCTGTTGCTCTGAGCCAGTTGGTTTGGGACGTTTGGCTTCTGGCAACAGATGGTGGGCCGGAGGGGCCATTTTGCGTCCTCCCTGTCCACCCTGCCCGAGCCCAAGCCGGGCTGCAGAGAAAGCCCTCAGGGAGGCCGGCCTCCGGGCTGGGGGCAGGGAGCGGACGGCTGAGAAACTCTCAGACCCGCCCGTCCCCGCGGCCCCCAGGCCGGCCTCTCCGGGCACCGAGGGGCGGAGGGAGGCTGGACCCGGTGTGAGGTGGCCACAGCTCCAGGCGGTGCCAGGCAGCCCTCCGGCGGGCTCTGGAAGGCGGAGGGTCCATGCCCAGGGGACCCCATGGCTCCCCGCCAGTCTCACACACACACACACACACACACACACACACACCCGTACCCGGAGCCGTGGGCACAGCCGGGCCGCTTTCCCAGGCCCTGCGGGCCGCACGTTCGGCCTCAGCGGCTCTGCCCTGGGAAGGCCACGCCTGGCTGAGCTTCCCGCCGAGCGGGGCCCTTGGCGGGGCGGGGGCGGGGGGCAGGGGGGGCGGGGGGGAGAGGGGCAGGGGGGAGAGGGGCGGGGGCGGGGGGGTACGGTCCCAGCTCCAGGCGCCGGTCCCAGCTCCAGGCGCCGGCCACCAGCAGGGGGAGGAAGCAGGAGGCCCTCCGGCTCCCCGCTCCCCGGTGCCTGCCATGTTCTGGGGCACAGGCCTGCCCTTGGGGCAGCCCCCGCCCGCCCCCACCCCCCTCGCTCAGGAAGGACCAGTACCTCCGTTTCTCTCGCTGTGAAGTGGGGTTCCATCCCAGCTCGGGTGGCCTGGTGTCTGGGGAAGACTTGATCCCAGAGGGAAGGAGCGAGTCCGGGTGGAGGTGTGGGGTGTGTGGGGCGGGTGCCAGGCTGAGCCCCGGCGAGGTCCCCGGAGCCTCTTCGTGGGGGAAGCCGGAGGGGGACAGGGACACGGCGGGTTCAGAGCGCCCCCCCGCCCCGGGTGGCTGAGATGCAGCCGCGGTGCCTACGTGGGTTCGACATCTCAGCCGGTCCTCGGGTCCTGGTCTTAGCCGCCCCCAGGGGGTGAGGGTGAGTTAGCTGCTGCACCGCATAGTTCGGGGCACGTGGCACAGGCACGGCGTGGGGGTCGCAGCCCTGGTCCCAGGACAGGGCCACGTCCCCTGGGAGAGCCGGTGGCGGCCCGCCCGCTGTGCCCGCTGCCTCCTGATGGGTGCTGAGCGGGGGGCATGGGGACCCCAGATGGGTGCTGAGCGGGAGGGGGGCAGGCGCCCCCCAGGCAGGTGCTGAGCGGGGGGCAGGTGGGGACCCCAGACGGGTGCTGAGTGGTGGCGGCCAGTGGACTGACAGCTTCCTGTTTGCGCCCACAGCTGCAGCGGGGCCTTCGTGGGCCAGCGGTGCCAGGCGCCCAGCCCCTGCCTCAGCGCCCCCTGCAGGAACGGCGGGACGTGCCACGTGCTGGAGCGGGCTGGCCGGGTGGACTACGCCTGCAGCTGCCGCCTGGGCTTCTCGGGGCCCCTGTGCCTGACGCCCCAGGACAACGCCTGCCTGCCCAGCCCCTGCCGCAACGGCGGCTCCTGCGAGCTGCTCACGCTCGCCGACTACAAGTGCCTGTGCCCGCCCGGCTGGTCAGGTGAGGCGGCCAGACCCCCGTCCCCCCTCGGGAGGGTGGGCTGGAGGAGGCCCTGGGCCTCCACCGGAGCCCCCACTGCAGCCCGGGCCGTGGGTCTGCTGTCGCCGGCCCCTCTCGCCGCCGCGGCTGCTGCCGGGCGTGTGGGCTCAGCCTCTGGAACCCCGTCCCTCGTCCACCGGAAGGCGGCCGGGTCGGGCGGCGGGTCCGGGGTTAAGGAGAGGGCTCCTGAGCCCAGCCCAGCCCCACACCTCCGGGCGCTGGGGGGTGGGGCGCCGTGGGGAGCAGGGCGGCCGGAGCGCCCCTCTGACCGACTCGCCCTCCAGGGAAGACGTGCCAGCAGGCCGACGCCTGCGCCTCCAACCCCTGTGCCAACGGCGGCGAGTGCCACCCCTTCGAGGCCACCTTCATCTGCCGCTGCCCGCCCGGCTTCCACGGCGCCACCTGCCGGCAGGACGTGAACGAGTGCGGCCTGAGCCCCCCGCCCTGCCGCAACGGGGGCACCTGCCTCAACGAGGTGGGCTCCTTCCGCTGCGCCTGCCGCGCCACCCACACCGGGCCCCGCTGCGAGCTGCCCTACGTGCCCTGCAGCCCCTCGCCCTGCCAGAACGGCGGCACCTGCCGGCCCACGGGCGACACCACGCACGAGTGCGCCTGCCTGCCAGGTACGGCGCCGGCGGGGGCGGGACGGGGCGCCAGCACGGATCAGACGGGGCCGGGGGGCAGGGGGGGCGTGCAGCCGGCCCCGAGGAAGGAATGGCGTTAGGAGGAGAGGACGGCCCGGGCCGGGCGCCACCCCAGGCCCCCTGCCCGCTCCTGACGGGTGGGCGCTGCTATGACCGGACAGCGGGGCCCACAACCCCCGGGGCCCAGGACCCTGCGGCCCCAGGAGGGCTCCTAGGGGAGGCCTGGCCCTGGTCCAGTCTGGGGGGAACTCCTTGGCACAGCCACTTGGGGTCCTCTCGTCCAGGGGCCCCGGAGCCCGGTACACCCGCAGAGCTCCCCACCTCAGGCGCACTCGCCCGTGTACCCTGGGGCTTCCCTCCCTGCCTCCCGACTCCGGGGTCTCCCCTGGGTGATGTGGGGTGGGGCAGGGCAGGCACCCGAACCCCCTCTGCCCCAGCGCCACAGCACCGGCTCACGCCGGTTGCCTTCGTTGCTGGCGACCTCAAACAATGGTGAAACCTTTGGTCTCTCAGCGCGCGACGGGGAGGTGGGACCCAGCGGGGGTGGGGGGGCGTGGTTACTCAGGGCACGGCACGGCCGGGCCCCCGTCCCCACGCCACCGCCCAGACCCCCCCCACAAAGAGGAAGTGTGTTCTCGCCGTCATGCAGACGCAAGGCCCGGGCTTCCTGCCGCACTGGGGCCCCCCTGCCCGCCCGCCTCCCGCCGCCGGCCTCTCCGCGGCCGTGGGGAGTGAGGGCCCAGCCCCCCGGCCCGGCCCGGCCCCCAGGCTCTCTGATCAGACCTCCCCCGTGCTGGCCCTCCTGGGCGGGCGGGGAGCCCAGCTCTCTGACCCGCCAGCCCCACCCGCTTCAGAAGGAGGTCCTTTGAGGCGTGGGGCCCCCAGCATAGCGGGAGGCAGAGCGGGGGCCTGACTGATGTGGGGTGCTCCCCGAACCACCGGCTTCCATTTGGCTTTGGCTCCGGGGGTGGGGCGGGGCGGGGGCACCCGGTCTGCGGGCAGCGGGTCAGAGGCTTGGGGGGAAGAGGCCATCGGTAACGGGCTGCCGTTCGCTGCTGCCGTTCACACCGCCGCCCTGACGGCTGACCGGGCGGTGCCTGGTGGACAGTTGACGGGCGGGGAGGCCCCGGGAGGTGGGCCCCGGGTTGGGAGGAGCTGGGCACAGCGGCTCTGGGCTCCCCTAGGACTGCCCACCTGGTCCTGCCCACCCCGTGCCCTGCAGCTCCTGCCCAATGAGGTATCGGTGGCCCCGCACCCCGCACAGCGCCTGGCCCGCAGGCAGGCCCTCCACGGAGCCACCGGCGCTCCCGGCCGCAGAAGGGTTTCTGTGCCCGTGAATCTGTCCGTCCAACTGCCCTTTTGAAAAATACACATGCACTCACATATACATATATGTTTTTATTGACGTCAGAGAGAGAGGGAGTGGGAGAAAAACATCAATGATGAGAGAGAACCATGCATGGGCTGCCTCCTGCCCGCCCCCCACTGGGGATGGAGCCCGCAGCCAGGGCCCTGACCGGGAATTGAACTGTGACCTGGTTCATAGGTCGATGCTCAACCGCTGAGCCACGCCGGCCGGGCCCAGATGCCCTTTCCAGATGATTCCGGGAGAGAAACGTGCCGTGGTCACAGAGAGGGGAGGGCGGGGCTGGGGTACGGACCCCAAGGCGCCGCAGGGCGGGGCAGACGGGGCTGACGGCCGGCCGCTCCCCCAGGCTTCACCGGCCAGAACTGCGAGGAGAACATCGACGACTGCCCGGGACACAGCTGCCAGAACGGGGGCGCCTGCGTGGACGGCGTCAACACCTACAACTGCCGCTGCCCGCCCGAGTGGACAGGCACGTGCCCCGTCCTGCGCCCCAGGAGGCGGCGGGGAGGGCCGCGCGGGCCGGCGGGAGGGTGGTGGCCGGGCAGCCCCTCTGCCCAGGGCCGGGGCTCAGTGTGGACGTGGGCATGGCTGCCCGGGCCCAGCCGCCCTCTGCCAGAGTCCGCTCCCCGGGTTTGAGCCCAGCTGGTTGGGTGGGACCTTGGGGCCCACCGTGCGGTGGGGACGGCAGGCAGCGTGGGTCCCCGGGCACCTGGGCGCGCAGTCAGCAGAGGTCAAAGCCGCCGGTGCCAGCGCGAAGGGGAGGCCGTGGTGCCGCTGGCCCGAGCGAGCGGCCCTGGAGGGCTGCCTGGTGGAGGCGGGCCTGCCCCGGGGTCGGGTCAGCCTGGGCTGGGAGTCCCAGCCGCCGCCCGGCCCCATGGCCCCGTGCCCGCAGGTCAGTACTGCACCAAGGACATGGACGAGTGCCAGCTCATGCCCAACGCCTGCCAGAACGGCGGCACGTGCCACAACACCCAGGGCGGCTACACCTGCGTGTGCGTCAACGGCTGGACGGGCGAGGACTGCAGCGAGAACATCGACGACTGCGCCAGCGCCGCCTGCTTCCACGGCGCCACCTGCCACGACCGCGTGGCCTCCTTCTACTGCGAGTGTCCCCACGGGCGCACCGGTGAGGGGGCCCCCGGCCCACAGAGGGGTCCCCCCGGCCCACAGGAGGGGGGAGGGGGTCCCCACGGGCCCACAGGGGAGGGGGGGAGGGGGTCCCCACGGGCGCACCGGTGAGGGGGGAGAGGGGGTCCCCACGGCCCACAGGGGAGGGGGGGAGGGGGTCCCCACGGGCGCACCGGTGAGGGGGCCCCCGGCCCACAGGGGAGGGGGGGAGGGGGTCCCCACGGGCGCACCGGTGAGGGGGCCCCCGGCCCACAGGGGAGGGGGGGAGGGGGTCTCCACGGGCGCACCGGTGAGGGGGGAGAGGGGGTCCCCCCAGCCCACACGAGAGGGGGGGAGGGGGTCCCCACGGCCCACAAGGGAGGGGGGGAGGGGGGAAGGGTCCCCCCGGCCCACAGGGGAGGAAGGCAGGGGGTCCCCCCGGCCCACAGGAGGGGGGAGGGGGTCCCCACGGGCGCACCGGTGAGGGGGCCCCCGGCCCACAGAGGGGTCCCCACGGCCCACAGGGGAGGGGGGCAGGGGGTCCCCACGGGCCCACAGGGGAGGAGGAGAGGGGGTCCCCCAGGCCCACACGAGAGGGGGGGAGGGGGTCCCCACGGCCCACAAGGGAGGGGGGGAGGGGGGAAGGGTCCCCCCGGCCCACAGGGGAGGAAGGCAGGGGGTCCCCCCGGCCCACAGGTGGGGGGGTCCCCACGTGAGGGCGGGTGGGCGTGCTCAGGCCAGGCTGTCCCCATTCGCCTCGCTCACACACAGGCTGGCTGCAGGGTCCCGGGAGGATGCGAAGGGGCCTCTCTGGAAGGCAGAGGGGCAGGGTGCCCACGGTCAGGCCAGCTGGGGACGAACTGCCTGTCCTGGATGCTCCACAGGGTCTCTCAGAAGCGTCACCCTGGGCCCTGGCCAGTGTGGCTCAGTGGATAGAGCGTCGGCCTGCGGACCGAAGGGTCCCGGGTTTGATCCCGGTCAAGCGCACAGGGCTGGGCTGCGGACTCCATCCCCAATGGGGGCGTGCAGGAGGCAGCCGGTCAATAGTCCTCTCGTCACTAGTGTTTCTGTCTCTCTCAGAAATCGATAGAAAAGTGTTTTTTAACAGAGCATCGCAGCGGGAGGCCCTTCCTGGGGGGTCTGGGTGGGGGCGGGAGGGCAGTGCCCCTGACGGCGCCCCCTGCAGGTCTGCTGTGCCACCTCAACGACGCCTGCATCAGCAACCCCTGCAACGAGGGCTCCAACTGCGACACCAACCCCGTCAACGGCAAGGCCATCTGCACCTGCCCCTCCGGCTACATGGGGCCGGCCTGCAGCCAGGACGTGGACGAGTGCGCGCTGGGTACGCCGGGGCGGGCGGGCGGCCACGGGGAGGTGGGCGGCCACGGGGGCGGCCACGGGGGAGGGGCGGCCATGGGGGCGGCCAGCCATGGGGGAGGTGGGGTGGCCACGGGGGAGGGGCGGCTCTGGGGAGGTGGGCTGGTCCCTCCCAGATGCTGGGAGCCGGGGTGCCGGGAGCGGCCCCTCACCCACCACACTGCGCCCCCAGGTGCCAACCCCTGCGAGCACAAGGGCAAGTGCATCAACACGCTGGGCTCCTTCGAGTGCCGCTGCCTGCAGGGCTACACCGGCCCCCGCTGCGAGATCGACGTCAACGAGTGCGTCTCGAACCCGTGCCAGAATGACGCCACCTGCCTGGACCAGATCGGGGAGTTCCAGTGCATCTGCATGCCTGGTGCGTGGGCACAGACACCCAGCCTGTGCCTCCCCCACCCCAGACCGCCAGCACCGGGGAAACCGAGGGAGGCCCCGCCGGGGGCGGAGCAGAGCGCGGGGCACGGGGGAGGGGGCAGGGGGGCTGGCGCCGTGGCTGCGGGTCTGGTGGGGGCTCTGGGCCGGCACCCTCACGCCCCGCTCCCCCCACCCCCCTGCAGGCTACGAGGGCGTGCACTGCGAGGTGAACCGGGACGAGTGTGCCAGCAGCCCCTGCCTGCAGAACGGCCGCTGTGTGGACAAGATCAACGGGTTCCAGTGCCAGTGCCCCACCGGTGCGCCCCCGGCTGCCCCCGCCGCCCGCCACCGGCTGCCCCCGCCAACCGCCCCGGGCTGCCCCCGCCAACCGCCCCCGGCCGCCCCCGCCGCCCGCCCCCGGCTGCCCTCGCCCGAGCTCTGTGCCCGGGGACAGGCCCCGCCTGCCCGGCCTCACTCTGCCCCTAGAAGTGGACAGGGGTCCAGGCTGGGGCGGTACTGCCCTCGTCCTGCCGGGTGCTTGGGGGTGGGGATCCCGGGGGCCGGGGAGGCCCCTCCTGGCTGCTGGGGTCCCCTGGCGGGGAGGGCGCTGGGAACCCCGGAGGCTCCGCTGTGGGGCTCCCGGCTGTGGGCGGCGCCATGGACGTGGGGCTCTGGAGCCCCAGGGGCTGGAGCAGGTCGGGCCTTGGGCTCCTGAGATGCAGATCGGGCCCCAGACACCGAGGGGACCCCAGGCCCCCCCTGCCTGGGCTGGCTCTGTGAGCCCCGAGGCGGGCCTGAGGCCGGAGCGGACGCGGGAGGGGAGGGTCCGGCGGGAGCCCTCTGCCAGCCGTTGCCGTGCCGCCGCAGGCTTCACCGGGAACCTGTGCCAGTACGACGTGGACGAGTGCGCCAGCACGCCCTGCAAGAACGGCGCCAAGTGCCTGGACGGGCCCAACACCTACAGCTGCGTGTGCACCGAAGGTGGGCGCCGCCGGGCGGGAGGGAACGCGGGCGCGGGTCCCTCGGAAGGACGGCCGGAGCCGAGGGGGCAGGGGACAGCCCTCCGCCTGGGACCCTAGTCCAGGGGCCGAGGGCGCCGCTCAGCGCTGACCTCACAATGGAAGAGGCGTCTTTTTACATTTTTAAAAGATATTTTATTGCCCCAACTCCTAGGTCAGCAAACTCATTCGTCCACAGAGCCCAATACCAACAGCACAACGATTGACGTTTCTTTGGAGAGCCACACTTTTTAAACTTAAACTCCTTCTAACGCCACTTCTTCCAAACAGGCTGGCCCAGGCCGTGGTATTTTGTGGAAGAGCCACACTCAAGGGGCCAAAGAGCCGCACTTGGCTTGTGAGCCACAGTTTGCCGACCACAGCCCTAACCGGTGTGGCTCAGTGGATAGAGCATCGGCCTGCGGACTGAAGAGTCCCAGGTTGATTCCTGTCAAGGGCACGTATCTTGGCTGCGAGCAAGTCCCCTGTAGGGGTTGTACGGAGGCAGCTGATCGGTGTTTCTCTCTCATCAATGTTTCTAACTCTCTATCCCTCTTCCTTCCTCTCTGTAAAAAATCAATATATTTTTTATTGACTTCAGAGAGGGAGAGAAACATCAATGATGAGAGAGAATCACGGATCGGCTGCCTCCTGCACGCCCCCCACTGGGGGTCAAGCTCACCCGGGCACATGCCCTGACCCAGAATCGAACCGTGCCCTCCTGGTTCCTAGCTCAGTGCTCACCCCCTGAGCCACGCCGGCCGGGCACGGCGTCTCCATGGAGGACACAGCCCGTCCTCTCTGCCAGGGCCGGGGACGGGGTCTGGGGCAGGGCGGCCGGTCCCCGGGAGCAGCCGCCTGAGCTTGGCCCCGCCCGCAGGCTACACGGGGCCCCACTGCGAGGTGGACATCGACGAGTGTGACCCCGACCCCTGCCACTACGGCTCCTGCCAGGACGGCGTGGCCGCCTTCACCTGCCTGTGCCGGCCCGGCTACACCGGCCACCACTGCGAGACCAACATCAACGAGTGCCACAGCCAGCCCTGCCGGCACGGCGGCACCTGCCAGGACCGCGACAACGCCTACCTCTGCCTCTGCCTCAAGGGGACCACAGGTGCGGCGGCTGTGTGTGTGTGTGTGTGTGGGGGGGGGCTGGCCGCCGGGCTCCGGCTGACCCCACACGCCCCCACCCTCAGGACCCAACTGTGAGATCAACCTGGACGACTGTGCCAGCAGCCCCTGCGACGCCGGCACCTGCCTGGACAAGATCGACGGCTACGAGTGCGTCTGCGAGCCGGGCTACACCGGTGAGCGTCCGGGGCCAGGGACTGTCCCCCGGCTCCCTCCCCCGCCCCGGCTCCGTCCCTCAGCCCTGCCCAGGATGGCTTGGGCTCAGAGGTCAAGGCCAGCGATGGCCCTGGGCCCTCAACCAGGTGGGCTGCCGCAGGGAGCCGCCCAGGGCCACTGTCAGGCTCCAGCCCTCAGCGACGGCGGCTGGGACAGCGTGGCGATGGGCCCAGCGGCTCCGGGCTCCGCGGGCAGCTCAGCCGGCCCAGCGGGCAGCTCAGCGGCCCAGCGGGCTGAGGACACGGCCCGGGTCCAGGCACTGTCGGCCGCGGCCGCCCCGTCTGCCCCGAGCAGGCCCTGGCTCTCAGGGCCTCAGGTGCCCATGGCCAGAGGCCGGGGCAGGCTCTGCCCGGGCACGGGAGGGGACTCACACGTGCCAGCGAGCGCCCGTACAGAGCGACATGCATGTAAAGTGTCCGCTCGGCCCGCTGGCGCGGGGCCGGTTACCGTCCCCGTGTCCTGGGAACGGAGGCTCGGCCGGACCCCTCACAGCCCCCCCCGCCCGCAGGGAGCATGTGCAACATCAACATCGACGAGTGCGCGGGCGGGCCCTGCCACAACGGCGGCACCTGCGAGGACGGCACCAACGCCTTCACCTGCCGCTGCCCCGAGGGCTTCCACGGCCCCTCCTGCCTGTCCGAGGTCAACGAGTGCAGCAGCGACCCCTGCGCCCACGGGGCCTGCCGGGACGGCCTCAACGGGTGCGGGCGCGGGGCTGGTGTGGGGCGCGGGGCGGGTGCGGGCATGGGGCTGGGTGTGGGGCTGGTGTGGGGCGCGGGGCGGGTGCGGGCATGGGGCTGGTGTGGGGCGCGGGGCGGGTGCGGGCATGGGGCTGGTGTGGGGCGCGGGGCGGGTGCGGGCATGGGGCTGGGTGTGGGGCGCGGGGCGGGTGCGGGCATGGGGCTGGGTGTGGGGCGCGGGGCGGGTGCGGGCATGGGGCTGGTGTGGGGCGCGGGGCGGGTGCGGGCATGGGGCTGGTGTGGGGCGCGGGGCGGGTGCGGGCATGGGGCTGGTGTGGGGCGCGGGGCGGGTGCGGGCATGGGGCTGGTGTGGGGCGCGGGGCGGGTGCGGGCATGGGGCTGGGTGTGGGGCGCAGGGCGAGTGTGGGGCAGGGCGCAGGCACACGTCCACCCCTCCAGGCCAGGCTGAGCTGCGCCCCCAGGGAGGTGGCTGTGTGGCAGCCGGCAGGGGGCAGGCTGGAGCTCCAGGCGGGCCAGGGTCGGTGCTGTGACCCAAGGACAGGTAGCGTCTGTGCCCAGTACGGGCCCCTGCTCGGCCCTGGTCTGTGCCCAGGCTTCCCCGGGCCACGTGTCGCCTGAGCCACGTGCCGCCTGAGCACAGTGCTGGCTCCGCGGGCGGGTCCTCCGAGTCCCTGAGGCCAGGCAGTGGCCAGGGCCCTGGGTTTGTGAGATGCAAGACGTGGCTGCGGTGGGTTTTGTCTGGCTCCTCAGGCAGCTCCTGGGTCTGTGAGTGGAGCATTTTTAATTGATTTTTAGAGAGAGGACGGGAGAGGGAGAGAGAGAAGCATCAGTGATGAGAGAGAATCCGGGATCGGCTGTCTCCAGCACGTCCCAACCCAGGCCTGTGCCCCGACCGGGATTCGAACCCGGGACCTCTTGGTTCCTGCTCCACTCCCGAGCCCACTGGCAGGGTAGGGGGACAGGGACCCCTTTACGCCTCCCAGCCCTGCAGCCTCCCCTGAGCTTTTGTTGAGGAGGCGGCTGAGGTGCCTGAGGGGCCACGCCGTCCTTACAGGCCCAGGGGCAGCGGACGGGGCCGGTGACGGGCCCCCGCCTGTGCAGCCGGGCCTGCGGTGGCTCCTCTGCTGCTCCGGGTTCGGAGGCTCCGGGCTGGGAGCCGTCACGGCGAGGGGAGGTCGCCCGGGAAGGGTGTGCAGCTGCTCGCCCTGCCAGCCCTCGAGTCTCCCCTGCGTGGCTGTGCCCCGGCTTCCCCTAGTAATAACCCCCGGTCCAGCCGGAGTCCTGCGAGCTGGTCTAGCAGACTGCCCGCTGAGGGCGTGCGGGAGCCCCTGTGGGGGCCGGTCAGTGGCCCCCGCGGGCGTGTGGTCGGCACTGGGGGTGGGGCCGAGCCCCCCGCCCTCCATCGGTGCGGAGTGTCAGGGTGCAAGGGGAAAGGAAGCTCTTTCGGACACTGTGCTGTGCTCCCTCGCTCTGTGTGCTCGGGGCCCTGGAGGGGGCGGGGCCTGGGCCCTCCTGCACAGAGTGAGCGCTGGGTTCGAGGCCACACAGCCAGGGGCGGGGGTGCTGGCGCCCCACCTGAGAGGGCTGAGGGTCTGCGGGCCGCCGCCGCCATGCCATCGGCCAGGAGCGTGGGGGCCGCCGCGGGCCGCGCCCCGAGGCCCCCGAGGGCCCCCTGAGCGGCCGCCTCCCCCCGCAGGTACAAGTGCGACTGCGACCCCGGCTGGAGCGGGGCCAACTGCGACGTCAACAACGACGAGTGCGCGTCCAGCCCCTGCGTCAACGGCGGCACCTGCAAGGACATGACCAGCGGCTACGTGTGCACCTGCCGCGAGGGCTTCAGCGGTGAGCGCGCCCGGCGGCCCCGGGGGCGGCTGAGGGCCGGGCGCGCCGACGGCACCCTGACCGCCGCCCCCTCCCCCAGGCCCCAACTGCCAGACCAACATCAACGAGTGCGCGTCCAACCCGTGCCTGAACCAGGGCACCTGCATCGACGACGTGGCCGGCTACAAGTGCAACTGCCCGCTGCCCTACACAGGTGAGGGCGGGCCTGCGGGCGGGGCCTGTGGGGCGGGGCCTGGCCCACCAGGTGGCTGAAGGCGCCGTGGCGGCCACGGGCCACGGCGGCCACGGGCCACGGGTGTGCAGTGGCTTTCACAGGGCCGCCTTTTCTGCGAGCTCGGGGGCCGTGCCCAGAGGCTCCGCTCTGCGTGCAGGGCCTTACTAAGGGGGCCAGACGTCCCGCGTGCGTCCCCGGTGTCCCAGCCTCCATTCCCCTCCCGGCCGGGGCCCTAGGACCAGTCCTCCTAGATCAGTGGTCGGCAACCTCATTAGTCAACAGAGCCCAATAGCAACAGGACAACCACTGAAATTTCTTCTGAGAGCCAAAGTTTTTAAAAATATTTTTATTTTTTACAGAGAGGAAGGGAGAGGGATAGTTAGAAACATCGATGAGAGAGAAACATCGATCAGCAGCCTCCTGCACACTCCCTACTGGGGATGTGCCCGCAACCAAGATACATGCCCTTGACCGGAATCGAACCTGGGACCCTTCAGTCCGCAGGCCGACGCTCTATCCACTGAGCCAAACCAGTTTCGGCGAGAGCCAAATTTTTAAAACTTAAACTCCTTCTAACGCTACTTCTTCAAAACAGTCTCGCCCAGGCCGTGGCTCGAGAGCCGCAGTTTGCTGACCACGGCCCTAGGAGAGCTGTGCAAAGAGTTAAAAACCGAAAGTCATGGCCACTGGGCCCCTGATGGGGGGAGGGGGGAGGGGAGTCCTGAGACGGCCCTGCCTGGGGGGCGGCGAGCCTGTGGTTCTCATGACACCGGGTGGCTGGAGGCCAGAGCCGTGTTTGCTTTTCGCGGCCCCGGGGCCTGGCTTTTCTCTCCCGAATCAGTGAGGAAGCCGGGCCGCCCAGGCCTCCACGCCCGGCGCACCGAGCCCTCGGCCGCTGCCGAGCGGAGGCCAGGCCAGGCGGGAGGAGCCGGTGTGACCTGCTTCCCCTCGCACAATTGTCGGAAGCCCTGGCCCGTTTCCTGCCCGCCCGGTCACCGTGGAAACCGAGGGAGAGAAAGGGCCTGGAAAATCGCAGCGCGGCCTCGAGATAACGGCCACGAGGAAGATAACGCTTCCCGCTTCCCGCCAGCCGCGCCGTAAACAGGAAAACCGGGGGACGCGCCGGGTGCAGGCGCCCAGCCTCCCTGTCCCCGGTCCCCCGCAGCCCGGGATGTGCCCGGCCGGAGCTGGCATGGCCCGCGGTGCAGGCCTGCCCCTGCGGTCACTGCCGTGTTCTGCGGCCTCGATGGGCGCTTCCTGCCTGGGCCACGAGAGGCCGGGAGTGGGCCCGAGGCCCCGCCAGCGTGGGGATCCCCAGCCCTTATGCCAGGGGCTCCTCGGGCGAGGCCCAGGCCGTGCCCTGCAGCCCGGGGGGCCACGTGTCCCTCCGGTGTCTCCGGCCCGAGTCCAGGCCCCCCTCCGCCGGCAGCTCCCACGGGGCCTCGCGTGCAGCCCGTGGGTCTCCGGCGGCGAGGACCAGCCGGCGTGGCCCTCCGGCCGGCTCCCGTCCTCACCGCCTCCCTCTCCGCAGGAGCCACGTGCGAGGACCAGCCGGCGTGGCCCTCCGGCCGGCTCCCGTCCTCACCGCCTCCCTCTCCGCAGGAGCCACGTGCGAGGACCAGCCGGCGTGGCCCTCCGGCCGGCTCCCGTCCTCACCGCCTCCCTCTCCGCAGGAGCCACGTGCGAGGACCAGCCGGCGTGGCCCTCCGGCCGGCTCCCGTCCTCACCGCCTCCCTCTCCGCAGGAGCCACGTGCGAGCTGGTGCTGGCCCCGTGCGCCTCCGGCCCCTGCAGGAACGGCGGCGAGTGCCGGGCGTCCGAGGACTACGAGAGCTTCTCCTGCGCGTGCCCGGCCGGCTGGCAGGGTGAGGCGCTGCCGGCGGCTCCGGCTCCGGTGCCGGGAGGGCGGCCCGGGCGGGGGGGACGGGGGGCCGCTGCCCGGCCGGCTGGCAGGGTGAGGCGCTGCCGGCGGCTCCGGCTCCGGTGCCGGGAGGGCGGCCCGGGCTGGGGGGACGGGGGGCCGCTGCCTGGCCGGCTGGCAGGGGGAGGCGCTGCCGGCGGCTCCGGCTCCGGTGCCAGGAGGGCGGTCCCGTACTCGGGGGGACGGGGGGCCGCTGCCCGGCCAGCTGGCAGGGGGAGGCGCTGCCGGCGGCTCCGGCTCCGGTGCCGGGAGGGCGGCCTCGTACTCGGGGGGACGGGGGGGGCCGCAGCCCGGCCGGCTGGCAGGGGGAGGCGCTGCCGGCGGCTCCGGCTCCGGTGCCGGGAGGGCGGCCCGGGCTGGGGGGACGGGGGGGGGGCCGGGCTGAGGCGGCTCTCCCTCCCCAGGGCAGACCTGCGAGGTGGACAGAAACGAGTGCGTGAAGAGCCCATGCCGCCACGGCGCCTCCTGCCAGAACACCAACGGCGGCTACCGCTGCCTCTGCCTGGCCGGCTACACCGGGCGCAACTGCGAGACCGACATCGACGACTGCCGGCCCAGTGAGTGCCGCCGGCCGCCCCGACGACGGCAGGACGGGAGGGCGGGGGCCCTGGCCGCACCAGCTGGCACCCCAGAGAGCCCGCCCGCGGCCCAGGTGGCGTGGCCGGGCGGGCGCCGGGTCGGCGCCGGGAGGTGGCCGCTCGCGCAGCATCGCCCGGCCCGCGTGGGCCGCGTGCGTGCCTCCGGCTGTTCCAGGCGCTCCTCCCGGCGAGGAGCTCCCTCAGGCCCGCCCGCGCCCTCAGCCGCTCCCCTGCCCCCCAGACCCGTGCCACAACGGCGGCTCCTGCACCGACGGCATCGACGCGGCCTTCTGCGACTGCCTGCCCGGCTTCCAGGGCGCCTTCTGCGAGGAGGACATCAACGAGTGCGCCAGCAACCCCTGCCGGCACGGCGGCAACTGCACCGACTGCGTGGCCAGCTACACCTGCACCTGCCCGCCGGGCTTCAGCGGCATCCACTGCGAGAACAACACGCCCGACTGCACCGAGAGGTGGGCGGCCGGCAGGGCCCCGGAGCCAGGGCCGTGGGGGGGGGGCGCTTCTGGGCCATGCCCAGGGTCTGGCGGCCTGGCCCCGAGCAGGCGGCCGCCGTCACGCAGAGCTGGCCGAGCGGAGCCGGACACTGCTCCCGTCCTGCACGGCTCCTCCTAGAGGGCCACTGCCAGTTGACAAGGGAATCAACTTGTTTCCCTTTTCACCTTGGCTGCTGGGAAGCTCGGGTTACAATTATCCTCTGTGTTATCTATTCGAGTTCTGGTGTTCCTCCTGTTTTCCCCTTAACCCTGAGTGTGAGAACGCTCCCCTCAGGATGAGCTTATGGAGGCGAGGACAGGGAGGGGTGTGATGGGTTTGTGCGCCTGAGCCCCCCATCTTCCCCCCAACCCTGTCCTGGGCCCCCGTGAGGTTAGTCAGGCTGCTGCTGGCCTGGTGCGGCCGTCCGGCCCCCGGTGGCCGCCGGTGAGCCAGCGTGGAGGTCCGGCGTGGGCGGGTCCTTCGCCCGGTCACCTCCCCCGGTGCCCGCCCACCTGCAGCTCCTGCTTCAATGGCGGCACCTGCGTGGACGGCATCGCCTCCTTCACCTGCCGGTGCCCGCCCGGCTTCACCGGCAGCTACTGCGAGCACGACATCAACGAGTGCGACTCGCGGCCCTGCCTGCACGGCGGCACCTGCCAGGACAGCTACGGCACCTACCGCTGCACCTGCCCGCTGGGCTACACCGGCCTCAGCTGCCAGGTGAGCCGAGGGCTGCCGTCCCCCTCGCCGAGGGGGCCCTGGCTGAGGCGCGGGGCCTCGGGCACGTGCTCCTGGGGGTCAGGGCGGCCAGTCTGGCCCCAGCCTGGGCCGTGCTGCCCGCAGAGGTGCTGGCGGGCGGCCAGCCCTGTCAGGGAGCGGAGGTTTGGGGAGAGAGCATAGACTAGGGAGTGTAGGGTAAGGGGTTTGATAGGGTTTTGTTTTGTCTTGTTTTAATATATTTTTATTCCAGGGAGGAGGGGAGAGAGACTGAGAGACAGAAACACCAACGATCAGAAAGGATCATTGATCGGCTGCCTCCTGCACGCCCCTCCCTGGGGATCAAGCCTGCAGCCCCTGGGGCCTGTGCCCTGACCGGGAATCAAACCCGGGCCCTTCAGTCCACAGGGAGCGCTCTATCCACTGAGCCACACCGGCTAGGCTGGCTGGGAAAGGACCGTTAAAAGCTAATGTTTTTATAGGAAATGTGCAAAACTATCGGCCAACCTTCCTAGGAGATTTTCACGTGAAATACTAATTATAAAAGCTCCCAACAAAATTGTCTACTTTTGACATAAGGTCTTCCTTGGAGGGATGGGTCTGGATTTGCTGGGGGGAGACAGAGAGAGAGACCCCGCTCAATGGAGCCGGCCGCAGACTCCACCTCCGTGGGGTGGGTGTGGGGGGGCGTGGGCTGCCGGCCGGAGGGTCTGAGCGCTGCCCCCCCAGAACCTGGTGCGCTGGTGTGACTCCTCGCCCTGCAAGAACGGCGGCAAGTGCTGGCAGACCCACGTGCTGTACCGCTGCGAGTGCCACAGCGGCTGGACCGGCCTGCACTGCGACGTGCCCAGCGTGTCCTGCGAGGCCGCCGCCCGCGAGCGAGGTACCGTGTCGCCCCCAGCCCGGCCCCTGGGTGCCCCGTGCCCTCCCAGCCCGGCCCCTCCCCCCAGCTGCCCCGGGTACCCCGTGCCCCTCCCAGCCCGGCCCCTCCTTCTAGCTGCCCCGGGTACCCCGTGCCCCTCCCAGCCCGGCCCCTCCTTCTAGCTGCCCCGGGTATCCCATACCCCTCCCAGCCTGGCCCCTCCCCCCAGCTGCCCCGGGTACCCCGTACCCCTCCCAGCCCGGCCCCTCCCCCCAGCTGCCCCGGGTACCCCGTACCCCTCCCAGCCCGGCCCCTCCCCCCAGCGGCCCCGGGTGCCCCGTGCCCTCCCAGCCCGGCCTCTCCCCCCGGTGGCCCCTGGGTGCCCCGTGCCCTCCCAGCCCAGCCTCTCCCCACAGCTGCCCCAGGTACCCCGTACCCCTCCCAGCCCGGCCCCTCCCCCCAGCAGTCCCCCGGGTGCCCCGTGCCCTCCCAGCCCGGCCTCTCCCCACAGCTGCCCCAGGTACCCCGTACCCCTCCCAGCCCGGCCCCTCCCCCCAGCTGCCCCGGGTGCCCCGTGCCCTACCAGCCCGGCCTCTCCCCACAGCTGCCCCAGGTACCCCGTACCCCTCCCAGCCCGGCCCCTCCCCCCAGCGGCCCCGGGTGCCCCGTGCCCTCCCAGCCCGGCCCCTCCCCCCAGCTGCCCCGGGTGCCCCGTGCCCTCCCAGCCCGGCCCCTCCCCCCAGCGGCCCCGGGTACCCCGTACCCCTCCCAGCCCGGCCCCTCCCCCCAGCAGCCCCCCGGGTGCCCCGTACCCCTCCCAGCCCGGCCCCTCCCCCCAGCGGCCCCGGGTGCCCCGTGCCCTCCCAGCCCGGCCCCTCCCCCCAGCTGCCCCGGGTGCCCCGTGCCCTCCCAGCCCGGCCCCTCCCCCCAGCGGCCCCGGGTACCCCGTACCCCTCCCAGCCCGGCCCCTCCCCCAGCAGCCCCCCGGGTGCCCCGTACCCCTCCCAGCCCGGCCCCTCCCCCCAGCTGCCCCGGGTGCCCCGTACCCCTCCCAGCCCGGCCCCTCCCCCCAGCGGCCCCGGGTGCCCCGTGCCCTCCCAGCCCGGCCCCCCGGGAGGGAAGCCGGGCCTCACACTCCCCCCACTCCACCCCTGCCCCCCGCAGGCGTGGACGTGACCCAGCTGTGCCGGAACGGCGGGCTCTGCCTGGACGCGGACAACACGCACCACTGCCGCTGCCAGCCCGGCTACACGGGCAGCTACTGCGAGGACCAGGTGGACGAGTGCTCGCCCAGCCCCTGCCAGAACGGGGCCACCTGCACCGACTACCCTGGTGGCTACTCCTGCGAGGTGGGGCCCGCCCCGTCCGGGGAGGGAGGGTGTGTCGGGGGGGCACGGAGTGCTGGGCCCGGGTTGGGAAGGCCCAGCCCAGCAGATGCAGATGCCTTTTAGTCCCATTGAGGTAGAGCCAGGGTGATCAGGGAAGGCTGCCTGGAGGAGGTGTCCCTGGGGGAGGAGGAAGTGGCTGGGAGAAGAAGATGCACTGAGACGTTGGACAGGGTTTCCCTCCTGCAGGATTTTTCTCCCCCTTGTTCGTTGACACCCCTCCTGAGACCCCACCCCCACATCTGCCTCAGGAGCTGGGGCCTGGCCGGCTCTGGGCCGTGGCTTAGTTGATCGGAGCCCTTCTCAGGCTCGGCTGGGAGAGTCTGCCTCTGGGTCAGCCCCATGTGAGGGGCCCAAGGCTTTAGGCAGGAGGGCAGCGTGTGTGGCTCTGTCCGTCAGCACAGGGGGCAGCCCACAGAGCCACAGCCCCCGTCTGTCTCCCCACAGTGCGTGGCCGGCTACCACGGGGTGAACTGCTCCGAGGAGATCAACGAGTGCCTGTCCCACCCGTGCCAGCACGGCGGCACCTGCATCGACCTCACCAACACCTACAAGTGCTCCTGTCCGCGGGGCACGCAGGGTGAGCGAGGCTGCACCGGCCGGGGCCGGGGCCGGGGCAGCGGGGCCTGTGCCGGCCGAGCCGTCCCGGGCCTGGCCGGAGCCGCGGGCGGGCGGGAGGCGGGCGCGGGGCCGGCGGGGACACGGGCAGTGGGGCCTGAGCCGGCCGGAGCCGTCCCGGGCCTGGCCGGAGCCTCGTGCGGGCGGGAGGCGGGCGGGAGGCGGGTGTGGGGCCGGCGGGTAAGGAGCAGGCGGCGGGCGGCACACGGGTCCCTGACGCCCCCCGCCCCCCAGGGGTGCACTGCGAGATCAACGTGGACGACTGCAGCCCCCCCATCGACCCCGTGACCCGCGGCCCCAAGTGCTTCAACAACGGCACCTGCGTGGACCGGGTGGGCGGCTACGCCTGCGCCTGCCCGCCCGGCTTCGTGGGCGAGCGCTGCGAGGGCGACGTCAACGAGTGCCTGTCCAACCCCTGCGACGCCCGAGGCACCCAGAACTGCGTGCAGCGCGTCAACGACTTCCACTGCGAGTGCCGGCCCGGCCACACCGGTGGGCGCCCGCGGGGGCTGGGGGTAGAAGGGGCGGGGCCGCGGGGCGGGGCCGCGGGGCTGCTCCTCACCCCCCTGCTCGTCCCCAGGCCGCCGCTGCGAGTCCGTCATCAACGGCTGCAAGGGGAGGCCGTGCCAGAACGGCGGCACCTGCGCCGTGGCCGCCAACACCGCCCGCGGCTTCATCTGCAAGTGCCCGGCGGTAGGTGCCGCCTGGGGGGGGGGGAGGGGCTGCCCAGGCGGCCGCTCACACCCTGCGAGGGCCTGGCCTGCTGAGGCCTCTGCCATCCTCATGCCCCTCCAGGTCATCTCTGGTGCCCGAGAACTTGACTCGCAGAGCAGTTTTATTTTACTTATTTAATATGTTTTTATTGGTTTTGGAGAGGATGGGGGAGAGAGAGAGAGAAACAGTGATGAGAGAGAATCGTTGATTGGCCGCCTCTGAAACCCGGGCCTGTGCCCTAGACCGGGATAGAACCGGGGACTCTACAGTCCACTGAGCCCAGCCAGCCAGGCCCGGGGCAGTGTTAGATTCGCAGAACAATCCTGCGGAAAATAGGGTTCCCAGTTCTGTTATTAGCTTCTTGGGGTCCTGGGGTCCATTGTTACTATGGACACCATTACTATTGACGAGCTTGACATCGATACATTGTCACTAAGTCGAGGCCACAGTGATATATTGTTACTAAGTCGCGAACAGGCTGCCGCCGGGCTCTGGGTTCTGACGGTGCAGGGGGCGGCATCCTCTATGAAACACTCCGGGTCGGTGGAGCTTCTCGGGGCCCTGGGGACCCCGTGTGTTCTGCCTGTGCATCCTGTGCCCGCCGACCCTGAGGTTTATATGTCCACGGGACATCTGTTTTATTTTTTTAACCTACATTCTTATTGGATTCAGAGAGGGCGGGAGAGAGAGAAGCATCAATGCTGAGAGAGAATCATTGGTCGGCTGCCTCCTGCTCACCCCTCACTGGGGATCCAGCCCGCAGCCTGGCCTGTGCCCTGAGCAGGAACCCAGCCATGACCGCCTGGCTCCTAGATCCAGGCTCCACCTGAGCCGCCCGGTGGGGCCACAGAACTTCCCTTTAGGGGTTGAGCGGCCCAGGGGAAGGCGGCTGGCCCTCTCGGGCGGGACCGAAACCAGCGCCCTCTCCCCGCAGGGCTTCGAGGGCGCCACGTGCGAGAACGACGCGCGCACCTGCGGCAGCCTGCGCTGCCTGCACGGCGGCACCTGCGTCTCCGGCCCGCGCAGCCCCACCTGCCTGTGCCTGGGCCCCTTCACCGGCCCCGAGTGCCAGTTCCCGGCCGGCAGCCCCTGCCTGGGCGGCAACCCCTGCTACAACCAGGGCACCTGCGAGCCCACCACCGAGAGCCCCTTCTACCGCTGCCTGTGCCCGCCCAAGTTCAACGGGCTCCTGTGCCACATCCTGGACTACAGCTTCCGCGGCGGCCACGGCCTGGACATCACCCCGCCGCCCCTGGAGGAGGCCTGCGAGCTGCCCGAGTGCCGCGAGGAGGCGGGCAACAAGGCGTGCAGCCCGCGCTGCAACAACCACGCGTGCGGCTGGGACGGCGGCGACTGCTCCCTCAACTTCAACGACCCCTGGCAGAACTGCTCGCAGGCGCTCGAGTGCTGGAAGTACTTCAGCAACGGCCGCTGCGACAGCCAGTGCAACTCGGCCGGCTGCCTCTTCGACGGCTTCGACTGCCAGCGCGCCGAGGGCCAGTGCAAGTGAGCGGGGTGGGCGGGAGGAGCCGAGCTCCAATGCCAGGTGCCAGCTGGGGGGTCGCCTGTGGGCACAGCTGGTGGGCAGAGCAGGCGGGCAGAGCAGGCGGGCAGAGCAGGTGGGCAGAGGGGGCGTGGAGGGGCCGAGCTCCAATGCCAGGTGCCAGCTGGGGGGTCGCCTGTGGGCACAGCTGGTGGGCAGGGCAGGTGGATCGGGCGGGAAAGGGGCGGAGCTCCAACGCCAGCTGCCAGCTGGGGGTCGCCTGTGGGCAGGCCCGGAGGGTGGGCCGGGGGTGGGGGTGATGGCGGGAGACTGAGCCCCCCTCTGCCCCGCCCGCAGCCCCCTGTACGACCAGTACTGCAAGGACCACTTCAGCGACGGGCACTGCGACCAGGGCTGCAACCGGGCCGAGTGCGAGTGGGACGGGCTGGACTGCGCGGAGCACGTGCCGGAGCGCCTGGCGGCGGGCACGCTGGTGGTGGTGGTGCTCATGCCGCCCGCGCAGCTGCGCAACGACTCGCTGCGCTTCCTGCGGGAGCTCAGCCGCCTGCTGCACACCAACGTGGTGTTCAAGCGCGACGCCCACGGCCAGCAGATGATCTTCCCCTACTACGGCCGCGAGGAGGAGCTGCGCAAGCACCCCATCCGCCGCTCCCTGGGCGCCGCCGCCGAGGGCTGGGCCGCGCTGCTCCCGGGCGGCGGGGGCGGGGGCGGGCGCTGGCGCCGGGAGCTGGACCCCATGGACATCCGCGGGTGAGTGAGCGGCCCTGGAGCAGCCCCCTCCCCCGACGGTAAAGGGCCCGAGGACCCGCCGGGCAGCCTCCCCACCCGGGGCCCTTGTGCCGAGGCCCGTGCCAGGAGCTGTCAGCTCCTGGGGGCCGGGGCTTGAGGTCTCCGTCCTGCTGAGAGGGGGAGGGGGTTTGGCCCCAGGGAAAGCACAGCGAGTGGCGGGCCTGGCGGGTGGGCCTTTGTGGGTGGCCGTTCCTGTCCAGGCCTGGCTCCCGGCCGCCCCTCCTTGAGCTCTGGGCCCTGTCTCCCCGGGGCCCTCGGGTGCTACCACCAGGGCGCCATCGGGTCCCCGGGCGGCTGGCGGGCAGGCGTGGGGGGGGAGGGGCGCCCGCACTGAGCCCTGACCCCTCCCCCGCCCCCCTCCCCCAGCTCCATCGTCTACCTGGAGATCGACAACCGGCAGTGCGCGCAGGCCTCCGCCCAGTGCTTCCAGAGCACCACCGACGTGGCTGCCTTCCTGGGCGCCCTGGCCTCGCTCGGCAGCCTCAACATCCCCTACAAGATCGAGGCCGTGCAGAGTGAGTGCGCCCTCGCCCCACGGGGCTCCCCGGGGGTGTGGGCTGTGCCCTCCAGAGTTCGGGGATCCCTTTTCTGGAAATTTCTGCAAATTTCTGCCTGGTGCATCCTCCCTCCCGGCTGACTGCTGCCGGTGGGGCCGCCCCGGGGACGCGCGCCGCCTCCTCTCCCGCCCCTCCCCGGCTGTCTCTGGGGGTATTACTCCAGAATCATTACCGCTTTTTAAAGAGGGGAGGGGCGAGTATCGATCGCTGTCCTGTGAGGAGCTGAAGTTCGTATCTCGGAAATCCCCATAAATCCTGCGTCTTAGCAGCTCCGCGGCGCTCGGAGCGCTAATCCCCGTCAGGAGAGGAGTGCGGGGCCGCGGTGCGGGGGTTCAGCGAGTTTGCAATTCTGATGCCGCGTCCGAATGACCTTATTCCGGGGCGGGTGGGGGGAGCGGGGTGCGGGGAGCCGGAGGCGGCGCCGCCGCGGAGCCAGTGCGCTGCCCGGCCCGCCGGCCCCGCGCCTGAGCCGCCTCGCCCGCAGGTGAGACGGTGGAGCCGCCGCCGCCGCCGCCGCTGCACCTCATGTACGTGGCCGTGGCCGCGCTGCTGCTGCTCGGCCTGGCGGGCTGCGGCGTGCTCCTGTCGCGCCGGCGCCGGCGCCAGCATGGCCAGCTCTGGTTCCCCGAGGGCTTCAAGGTGGCGGAGGCCAGCAAGAAGAAGCGGCGCGAGCCGCTGGGCGAGGACTCCGTGGGCCTCAAGTGAGTGCGGGCCGGCCCCGGGGCGGGCGCCTGCGGCCGGGCACATCGGGCCGCGGGCGGGGCACATCCGGGCCGCGGGCCGGGCACATCGGGCCCCGGGCCGGGCACATGCGGGCCGCGGGCGGGGCACATCGGGCCGCGGGCCGGGCACATGCGGGCCCCGGGCGGGGCGCATCGGGCCCCGGGCGGGGCGCATCGGGCCCCGGGCGGGGCACATGCGGGCCGGGGTCCCGGGAGCCCGCTCAGCCCCCTCCCCCCCAGGCCCCTGAAGAACTGCTCGGACGGCGCCCTCATCGACGACAACCAGAACGAGTGGGGCGACGAGGACCTGGAGGCCAAGAAGTTCCGGGTGAGTCGGGGCCAGGGGGGCGCCCGCCGCCGGCCTGGCGTGGCGTGACGTGAGTGACGTGGCGTGACGTGACGTGACTGAGTGACGTGTGACGTGACGTGAGTGACGCGGCTCTCCGCCCGCCCCGCCCGCAGTTCGAGGAGCCGGTGGCGCTGCCGGACCCGGACGCGCAGGCGGACCACCGGCAGTGGACGCAGCAGCACCTGGACGCCGCGGACCTGCGGGCGTCCGCCATGGCGCCCACGCCGCCCCAGGGCGAGGCCGACGCCGACTGCATGGACGTGAACGTGCGCGGCCCCGGTGAGTGCGCGGCCGGCCGCCCCGCCCGGAGCCCGCTTCCCTGGCCGGAGCCCCCCGCACCCCCCAGCCTCCTGACCCCGCCCCCGCCCTCGAGCCCCCCGCCCCCACCCCCGAGCCCCCTGAGCCCCCCGACCCCGCCCCCGAGTCCCCTGTCCCCGCCCCCGAGCCCCCTGACCCCGCCCCCGAGTCCCCTGACCCCGCCCCCGCCCCCGCGCCCCCCGCCCCCGCCCCCGCCCCCGAGCCCCCTGACCCCGCCCCCGCCCCCTGGCCCCGCCCCTGCCCTCGAGGCCCCCCGCCCCCGCCCCCGAGCTCCCTGACCCCGCCCCCGCCCCCTGACCCCGCCCCCACCCCCGAGCCCCCCGCCCCCGAGCCCCCTGACCCCGCCCCCGCCCCGAGTCCCCTGACCCAGACCCCTGACCCCGCCTCCGAGTCCCCTGACCCCGCCCCCTGACCCCGCCCCTGAGCCCCTGGCCCCCCAGTCCCCTGTCCCCGCCCCCTGACCCCGCCCCTGACCCCGCCCCCGAGACCCCCGCCCCCGAGCCGGGTCCCTGTTCTGAGGGTGAGGGGCGGGTGCTCAGTCCTCCCGGCCGCCTCCCGGCTGACCACAGCCCACTCTGCCCGGAAGTCGGTCTCTTCCCCTGAGGCACCTGGTGCTGGTCTCTGGCTGCGTTTTCATATTTAGGGTTTTTTTTAATATGTTCTGCCCGGTGGCCTGGCTCCGTGCTTGACCCATGGACCGGGGGTCAGGGTTCGATTCCCGGTCAGGGCACAGGCCCGGGCTGGGGGCTCACTCCCCAGTGGGGGGCGTGCAGGAGGCCGCCGATCCATGGTTCTCTCTCATCACTGAAGTTTCTCTCTTTCTCCCTTTCTCTCTGAAATCCATGAAAGTATTTTTGAAATGACATGCTATTAAGCTTAAAAAAATTTTTTTTTATGTCTTTATTCATTTTAGAGGACAGGAAAGAGGGAAAAACGTCACTGATGAGAGAGAGGACAGGGGGGAGAGAGAAACATCACTGATGAGAGAGAACCATGGCTTGGCTGCCTCCTGCACGCCCCACACTGGAGATGGAGCCCAACCCAGGCCTGTGCCTGACGGGGAGTCGAACCCTGACCTCCTGGTTCATAGGTGGGCGCTCAGCCCTGAGGCCCGCCGGCTGGGCCCACTGCGTTTCACGGCGTCTTTTCTCTTGGGGGAAGGGGGGTGTCGGAGAAGCTCTCGCAGGCCGTAAGCAGAGCGCCGGGCTGGGGCCACGGGCCACGTGGCCCCGGCGTGGCTCTGTCCCAGGGAAGCCCGCCTGGTTCGGGCGGCACCCAGGCTGTCGCGCTGACCGCCCGCCCTGCCCCGCAGATGGCTTCACGCCCCTCATGATCGCCTCGTGCAGCGGAGGCGGCCTGGAGACGGGCCACAGCGAGGAGGAGGAGGACGCGCCGGCCGTCATCTCGGACTTCATCTACCAGGGCGCCAGCCTGCACAACCAGACCGACCGCACCGGCGAGACCGCCCTGCACCTGGCCGCCCGCTACTCCCGCTCCGACGCCGCCAAGCGCCTGCTGGAGGCCAGCGCCGACGCCAACATCCAGGACAACATGGGCCGCACGCCCCTGCACGCGGCCGTGTCCGCCGACGCCCAGGGCGTCTTCCAGGTGGGCGGCCGCCGCCCCCACTGTCCTCGGCCGGGCCGGCGTCTCCGGTCACCGGACCCTGACCCCTGACCCCAGGCGTGGCCTCCGCAGGGGTGGCTGGTGTCCTAGCTGGGCGGGCTCCGCTGCTCTGAGGTGGCGCGGCCTCTGCACCAAGGCCACGTGCGGGCACCAAGGGGCTGGTCTGTGGGCAGCACCGCCTGCGTCCGGCCTGACCCTGCCCTCAGCAGCTGCCGGCGGAGTCCCGCCTCCCCCCGCCTTCTCACATCATGGCCTTCGGGTCTTCCCCAAGATGGCCCTGGGCTCCGCTCCCCCAGCCTGAGACCTCCCCTGCCCCCAGATCCTGATCCGGAACCGGGCCACGGACCTGGATGCCCGCATGCACGACGGCACCACGCCGCTGATCCTGGCCGCGCGCCTGGCGGTGGAGGGCATGCTGGAGGACCTCATCAACTCGCACGCCGACGTCAACGCCGTGGACGACCTGGGTGAGCAGGCGGCACCGCGGGCCGCGGGAACGGGCGCCGCCCCTGCCCCCGCTCCGCCCGCCAACCCCGGCCTCTGCCGCCCTCACAGGCAAGTCCGCCCTGCACTGGGCCGCCGCCGTCAACAACGTGGAGGCCGCCCTCGTGCTCCTCAAGAATGGGGCCAACAAGGACATGCAGAGCAACAAGGTGGGCGTGGGGGCAGCGTGGGCCCTGGGCATGAGGGCGGCGTGGGGCCTGGGCGTGGGGCCCTGGGTGTGAGGGCAGCGTGGGGCCCTGGGTGTGAGAGCATGGGGCCCAGGCTGGGCTCAGGGAACTGGCCCATGCCAGACGCAGACCCCGTAGCTCAGCACAGCCTCCTTCACTGGCCTGTGCTTACCGCGCCTTCCCAAGCACGGGGCTGCCCCCAGCAGGCATCGGTCCTCAGATAGGAGTGACCTGGACTGACCTTCTCCCTCCCCGCCCCCGGGCAGGGCAGGTGGCCTAGACGGTGTGGGTTGAGCTGGAACCCTGGTGGGTGGTTGTGGGGCTCAGGGACTGAGTGGCCCCAGAGGTAACGTGGTAACGTGAGTGGCTGCCTTCCTGCTGGCAAACCCGCCCTCTCACCCTGTGGCCAGTCTCTCCGTGGCCAAGAAACTTCCCCGGCTCCAGTCTGACCCCCTGGCCTCCGGAACCTGCGCCCGAAGTGTTGGGCACTAGGGGGCGCTGGTGGACACGGGACTGGGTACTGCATCAGGCCATTGCCAGGGCATTGTGAGAGCCAGGCTGGCTCCTCAGGCTTCACGCCCAGTGTGGCTTGGGGGGAGGGGGGCACGTGGCATGCCAACTGTGCAAATGAGGAAGCCGAGCCCCGGGTGGAGCTGTCAGCATGACGTGGGGCCATCAGGATGCGGGTCCCTACCCTCCTGGGACCCCCAGCCCTGGTGCTGCCACGTTGGGGTCTGTGCAGCTTTTTGGGGGGAAAGAGGAGAATTCCCGTGGAGTCTGTGACCGCCCCCAGGAAGGTAAACCCTCCCGATTCAGAACGTGTCACCCCACAGACCAGCTCTGGGCGGCTCAGGGTCGTGTCAGGCTGTGTCTTTGAGAAAACTTGGTCAGGAGTTGAGCGTCAGCCTGTGAACCAGAAGGTCAGGGTCCCAAGTTGCAGGCTCGATCCCTTTCAGGCCGTGGTCGGCAAACTCGTCAGTCAACAGAGCCAAGTGTCAATAGTACAGTGACTGACGCTTCTTCTGAAAGCCAAGTTTTTTTTAGCTTAAACAACTTCTAACACCACTTCTTCAACATAGACTCGCCCAGGCCGTGGTATTTTGTGGAAGAGCCACCCTCAAGGGGCAAAGAGCCGCCTGTGGCTCTCAAGCCGCAGTTTGCCAACCACGGCCCTAGGGGGTGTGCAGGAGGCAGCCGAGCACCCATTCTCCCTCGTCATTGATGTTCCTCTCTCTCTCCTCTCTCCTCTCTGAAATCAGTAAAGACGCTTTTTCAAAAAGAAGGAGCCGGGGTGGGGCGGGCCGTGGCCGGAGGCCGGGGCCGGGCAAAGGAGCTCGCTCCCCCGCTGGCGGTGGGACGCAGGCCGGGTCCCGGTGCGGGCTGCGGAGGGTGACCTCTCTGTCCGTGCGTGTGCCAGGAGGAGACGCCCCTGTTCCTGGCCGCCCGGGAGGGCAGCTACGAGACGGCCAAGGTGTTGCTGGACCACTTCGCCAACCGCGACATCACGGACCACATGGACCGGCTGCCCCGCGACATCGCCCAGGAGCGCATGCACCACGACATCGTGCGGCTGCTGGACGAGCACAGCCTGGTGCGCAGCCCCCCGCTGCATGGCGCCCTGGGCGGCCCGCCCACCCTGTCGCCCCCGCTCTGCTCGCCCAGCGGCTACCTGGGCAGCCTCAAGCCGGCCGCGCCCGGCAAGAAGGCGCGCAAGCCCAGCACCAAGGGCCTGGCCGGCGGCAAGGAGGCCCGGGACCTCAAGGCGCGGCGGAAGAAGGCACCGGACGGCAAGGCCTGCCTGCTGGACAGCTCCAGCGTGCTGTCGCCCGTGGACTCCCTCGAGTCTCCCCACGGCGGCTACCTGTCCGACGTGGCCTCGCCGCCCCTCCTGCCCTCCCCCTTCCAGCCGTCACAGTCCATGCCCCTCAGCCACCTGCCGGGCATGCCCGACACCCACCTGGGCATGGGCCACCTGGGCGTGGCGGCCAAGCCCGAGATGGCGGCCCTGGGTGCCGGCGGCCGGCTGGCCTTCGAGGCGGGGCCGCCACGCCTCTCCCACCTGCCCGTGGCCTCGGGCGCCGGCGGCAGCGGGGCTGTGAATTTCACCGTGGGCGGGACCACCGGCCTGAACGGCCAGTGCGAGTGGCTGTCCCGGCTGCAGAACGGCCTGGTGCCCAACCAGTACAACCCCCTGCGCGGGAGTGTGGCGCCCGGCCCGCTGAGCACGCCGGCGCCCGCCCTCCAGCACGGCGCCATGGGCCCGCTGCACGGCGGCCTCTCCGCCTCCACCCTGTCCCAGATGCTGAGCTACCAGGCCCTGCCCAGCACCCGGCTGGCCACCCAGCCCCACCTGGTGCAGGCACAGCCGGTGCAGCCGCCGCCTCAGGGCCTCCCGATGCAGCCGCAGAGCCTGCCGCCGCCCCAGCCGCACCTGGGCGTGAGCGCCGCCACGGGCGGGCCCCTGGGCCGGGGCTTCCTGGGCAGGGAGCCGAGCCAGGCGGACGTGCAGCCGCTGGGCCCCGGCCTGGCGGCGCACACCATCCTGCCCCAGGACAGCCAGGCCCTGCCCACGGCGCTGCCGCCCTCGCTGGGCCCGCCCGTGGCCACCGCCCAGTTCCTGACGCCGCCCTCCCAGCACAGCTGCTCCTCCTCGCCCGTGGACAACACCCCCAGCCACCAGCTGCAGGTGCCCGAGCACCCCTTCCTCACCCCGTCCCCCGAGTCCCCCGACCAGTGGTCCAGCTCGTCCCCCCACTCCAACCTCTCCGACTGGTCCGAGGGCATCTCCAGCCCGCCCACCAGCACGCAGTCCCAGATCGCCCACATCCCGGAGGCGTTCAAGTAAAGAGCCGGCCACGGAGCCACGCTTCCGGCCACCGGGCCCGGCCACGGGACCACCTGCCTTCCCCGGGCCCTGCCGGGGCGTTCGCCCGGCACTCCGAGGACACCGGCCGACCAAAGGAGCTTATTATTTTTTTTAAGGAACGTTTTTATTCAGAACAAGAGGACAGATGTGGACTTTTTTTAGTATTTATTTATGTACTTTCATTTCACGTGGAAACACTGCCTTGTTATTTATACGTACCTTGTTCTCCGGCCCCGGCAGGGACTCCTCTCTCCCAGGACACTGGCAGCTCTCGGCCACGGCTTCCCTCCGCCGGGAAAAGGGTTCCGTGTGTGTGACACACACAAAGGTTCACGGTGTACGCATGCCACTTATTTATTGATTTCTTTTTTGAAAATCCAAAAAAGAAAGACACCGGAGGTCTGAGCCAGCGCCGTCCAAAAAGCCGCCTGGGGGCTGGGCCGGTGCGATCTCCCGGCACCCCGCGCCCCCCGCGCCCAGAGCTGCAGGCACCCCACACCCGGCACGAGGGCCGTTCGCATCTCAAGCAGGAGACGGGGTGGGTGACAGGTGCGGGTGCTTTTCAGTGGCTTTCAGAGAGCATGCTGCTGACGGCGTGCGCTCGGGGTCCCCATCGTGAATCTTTGTTTCAGGGTCAGTGTTATGGAGTCTTGCGTGGGTCTTGCCCAGTCTTATTCCTTCTGGAAGCTTCCCCACCCCGGGCCCTGGCGTCTCAGCGCCTGGTAGTGGGAGAGGTCAGGCATGGTGGCCCCCGGGCCTGCGTGGAGGGATCATCCCCTTTTGTGGGGGAGGCACAGCCGGGGCGCCCTGCCGCCCCCAGGCACCTCTGCTCCACGTCTCCCAGGCCCCGCAGCGGGTGGGCCAGCACTCAGCCCAGAGCACCCTGCGCCAGTTCGGGAACACCCCCCCCACTGTGTCAGGCCGGGGGCGGGTGTGCGGGGCCGGGGGTCCCCGGGGACAGCAGCCTGCTCCGGGCCCCTCCTGCGTGGGGGGGGGGGGGGGGGGCGGGCCGGGGAAGGAGCAGAGTCTTACAATATCAAGTATGAGCCTGTGGCACAATAAGTGTCTGTATATAACCTTTAAAGGTGGATTTTGTTTAAAAAGTCTGAGTGAACAAGCCTGTTGGGTCACGCCGGGGAGGGGGTCGGAATGGGTCCCACTCGCACCCCTGGCCTCGACCTGCAGCGCTGCGCGGCTCCTGAGCGAGCCCGGGAGGGGTGCCCGTGCCCGGCGGGTGCCCGCCTCCTCAGCAGCTCCTCCAGCCCCGCCAGGGGCGACGCCGTACCATCCCCTGTGGGTGTGACCGGACCCATCCTGAGATGTGGGTTCTTACTGTTTTATACGATAGAGTGTAGTTTACAGGAAATGGAATCTTTTGTAAAATAACTACATGTGAAACTGTAGGTGGTAAAAATGATGTATTTTTTTCATCTTTTGTTTTGTTAACGGATTTGCAATAAAGACGACACTGATGCCACCCAGATTTCCCTAAATGCGGCCGCGCTGTGGGCTCCCTTGGGGGGGCGGGGGGAGAGGCACCCCGAATCCCTCCGCCTTTTCAGACAGGAGTGCGATGGAGAGATGCCCGCCCTGGCCTTGCTGAGTCCACAACTTCCAGTCCCCACCAGCCCTGCCAGCCCCTCCCCCCCAGAGGGTGGGGATGTGGCAGAGAGCCGGGTGCATGCAGCCCACCCAGGGGCCTGGGTGACACGAGGCTGTAGGCGCCGTGGCACTCACCGCCTGGTGTGGACTAGCTCCCGGGCCTCACGGTGCTGGCCTCCCAGCCGGCCTGCACGCGCCCCTCACACATGGCCTGGACGCCCACCACAGGCCGACAGGGGCCCGGTGCTCAGGTCCGAGGGACACTCGAACCCTAGCCCTGCCTCTCCCTCCAGCCTCTGCGCTCTCCCCTCAGGGAGCCCTCACCTACAGCTTCGTGCCACCCTCGAGGGCCGCTGTCAGCAAACTCATCCGTCAACAGAGCCAAACATCAACAGGACAATGATTGACACTTTTTTTGAGAGCCAAATTTTTTAAACTTAAACTATAGAGGTAGGTACATTGTTATTAGCTTAATTAGGGAACTCCTGAGCTGGCCTTTGCTGAAAACTCAAGGGGCCAAAGAGCCACATGTGGCTCTCGAGCCGCAGTTTGCCGACCACGGGGCCAGGTCCTTGGCCGCCTGGGTGGCCGGTGGCGGCTGAGGATCCTGGACCTCTCCCTCCGTCGTCGTCGTCGGGCGGGCCAGCCCGTGTCCGCCACCTCCTCCGTGTTCTCCGGTCGCGCTGTTAGGAGCACCGGCCCCGGAACACACGGACGCGGTTTTTGCAGCCTTGAAAGGGGGGCAGCGGGCAGTGGACACATGAGGCCGGGGGAAGGAAGGCGTCCAGGTCTGTGTGTAATTGCATCGACGTCCAACTTTAGATTCTGTGGGTTTTATCGCAACAAATTCATTTCAAAAAAAGAAAGAACTAGCCAAAACCGGTTTGGCTCAGTGGATAGAGCGTTGGCCTGCAGACTGAAGGGTCCCAGGTTTGATTCTGGTCAAGGGCATGTACCTTGGTTGCAGGCACATTCCCAGTAGGGGTGTGCAAGAGGCAGCTGGTCGATGTTTCTCTCTCATCGATGTTCTTAACTCTGTCCCTCCCTCTTCCTCTCTGTAAAAAATCAATAAAGTATATATTTTTTTAAATTAAAAATAAAAAGGAAGAACTAGCAGTGTTAGGTCTTCTAAGGCTTTCCTCAGGGTGTGGGGTTCCCACCTTGGCCTTGGGGACCTCTCTGCTCCCCGAAGTTAACGGAGCCCCTGCAGAGGCGAGGACGCCCCCTCTGTGCCTCCCTCAACGCCACGTGCAAACTGGGCGCCAGACACCTGGCCCCGCCCCCTCCTGCCAGGCCGCCAAGGGCGAGGGGCGAGGAGCGGACACGGGGTCCCCCCTCAGGAGAACCCCTGCCCCTCCCGGTCCCCGCCCAGGGGAGACTCGGGCGCTCCCTCAGGCGAAGCTCAGCCAAGACCCCCGACTTAGGAGTGTTTGATGGGCCGGACTGGGTCTCCCAGATTCGGGTGCTGAAGGCCCAGCTCCCAGGACACCTCAGCCCAGGGCTGCGTGGGGAGAGGGGTCTTTCCGGAGGTGATTAAGGTCAAGTGAGGTCCATCTGCCTGCTGACCTCACAGGAGAGATCAGGACAAGCCCCATCAGGGGTGTGAGCCTGGAGGAGCCGCGTTCCTCACCCACCGCATCCTTGTCTGCTCTCAGCACCACCACCCCCATTCCTGGGGGACCCAGAAATAAATGCCCCCTGCCCCCAAGGGCGCAGTCAGGTAATGAGGATCCTGGGGCAAGCCAGTGGGACAATGACTTGCCTGCTCCGCCTGCCCACTCAGAAACGGTGTCTGCTGCCCCCTGCTGGCCGCGCCCTGCCATTGCGCCTTTGGCGAGCAGGTGGTCCCCACGGGCCTTCCTGGCCAGGTGAGTCTCATCCTTGACTGTCAGCACCTCACCTGCCCCTCGGGGCCACCTGCTGCCACGCTGCCAAGATCCCGTTTGACAGACGAGGAAGCTGAGGCTCAGAGAGGTGGGTGACTGCCCCGAGATCACGTTCAAGCCCGGGCCCAGGGCCTCCCAGGTCCACGTTCTCCTAGCCAGTTGGGGGGTCACCTTCCCGGGGAGGACTGGGGGGCCGGGCGGGCCGATGCCACTCAGCCTGTCACTTTTCAGACGAGGAACATGCTCAGGGAGGCGCCTGCCAAGGTCACGGCCAGGAGTGAATGTCACTGCCAGCCTGGCACTCGGCAACCTGCCGACGTTGGCGTGCTGCCCAGCGCCACCCGGGCCCTTTCTCTTCCAAACCACAGCCCCCACCCCAGCCGCCACGCCCGCGCCTTAGCTCAGTCCCCGCGCCCGCCGGTGCACAGGACGCTCGCCCGCCTTCCCTGCCGCGGCTCCCGGGCTGGTGAGCGGCGCCCATGCCGGGCCGGGCCGGGGGCCGCGGGCGCAGCGGGCAGGAGGGTCATCGGGGTCAGCTCCCCCCAGTCTGGCCCAGCCGCCTCACTGCTCACCGAGGGGCCCCCTCCACCCTAGCCCAGCGCCCAGGGCGCAAGGTGCAGGTCGGGCTGAGCAGAGGGCCTGGCAGGGAGCAGCCTGCCCTCCAACCACCTACAGACCAGTTAATGTGGCTGTTCATGCCAGGGGGGTGAGGGAAAAGGTAGAGTGCAGGGTGGGGGGGGGGTGGCCTGAGATGGCACCCCACCCCCACCCCGAGGGCTCCTCTGAGGACCACCGGCTGCTGGTGGTCAGGAGAGAGCCAGCCGAGAGGCTGCTGCCCAGAGAGCCCCTGTGCCCACTGCCCAGACCCACACTGTCACCGCAAATGCAATGCCAGCCACTGGGGATCTTTAAAATAGAAAATGTTTTTGTTGATTTTTTTTTTTTATGATTAGAGAAATAGGAAAGGAGAGGGAGAGAGTGAAACATTGATTGGCTGCCTCCTCCACGCCCCCTACTGGGGATGAAGCTGAAAGCCGGGCCTGTGTTTGGTGCTTGGGTCAACACCCAACCACTGAGCCACACTTTCTAGTTGCTACATTTTTAAACTCAAAATATCCAAAATGTTATCATTTCAACGTGTGATCAGAATTTCTTAGGAGCTATTGGCACTCCAGCGGCGCGTACTTTGCGCTTGGAGCCCACGGAGGTCCCGCCCGGCCCGCCCAGGGCTCAGTGGGTCTCCTTGGACAGAGGGACCGATGGGAGAGGCGGCTGGCGTAACCGTGGGAAGTCAGCCGGTTCTCTGGCACAGCCTCTGCCCGTTGTCCTGGCAAGGGCGCAGCCCTGGTGCTGGGTAAGGGGACAAGAACGGCCGTGGAACTTCGGGGGAGGGGCTGCAGCTTGGCCCTCTGACTCAACGACGACCTGCAGGTGGTTCTCGCCTCCCAGGGGCCTTGGGGAGGGGGCGGCACGTCCATTGAGGGGCGGACAGTGCCGGCAAAGGGGAGGAAGCGTGACCCAGAACAACGCTGGCTCTCACGGCAGCACCCCGCCCGGGCACAGCCGCCGGCACCCTGCCTCCCAGCTCGCCCACACGGTTCCCTGTTGTCCCAGGGTATGCATCCACAGCACCCCCCTCTGGCCCCATCAAGCACGTCAGACTCCATGGCAGGCGGGCCGCACGCCCTGGTTCAGCGAGTTTGAACG